GTTGGGTTCGGCAGTAGCAACACCTTGACCATCTCCAGTGGGTGCCAAACCACCCCAGATCTCCAACGAGCAGGGGGTCTGCTCCAAACTCATCCCAAACCCTCCCTTCCCCTGACAGCTGAAGAGCACCAAGGAACAGAGCAGTTCTCCATCCCTGCCATGTCCTTATCCACCATCTACCTGTCCTGGGGCACCTCTGGGCTTTTCTGTTTGTTCATCCATCCATCCCTCCATCCCTCCACCCACCCACCTATCTACCTGTCCATCTACCCACCCATCTGTCCACCCATCAACCTACCCACCTATTTGCCTATCCATCCATCCATCTGTCCTTCCATCCACCCATCCATGGGACTGTACATTTGTCCGTCCATCAGAGCAGCTCGGAGCCGCACGCTGTGAAACGCAATTTCTTGCTGCCATCTAGTGAGCAGATGCCACGGGGAAATGTTCTCTCTCCTTGGGCTTCGTCTCCTCTCATTTCTCCCTCTTTCCCACCGCAGGATGAGAAGAACCAGATGATGACCACCAATGTCTGGCTGAAGCAGGTAGGAGCCTGTTCCCTCTATGGGTTCAGGACAGGAGTGCATCAAGGAGGGCACAGCATTTGGGGCAGAAAGACCCTGCCCAGGAGGGCTTGGTGGCATCTCCGTGGTGCTGCTCCTCAGAGGAGGAAGGTGGCATGGGACAGCTTGGTACCAGCAGACTCAGGACGTCCTGATGCCCTCTCTTCTGTGTCCACCTCCAGGAGTGGAGTGACTACAAACTGCGCTGGGACCCAGCTGAGTTTGACAATGTCACCTCCATCCGGGTGCCCTCGGAGATGATCTGGATCCCCGACATCGTGCTCTACAACAAGTGAGTGATGCTGCCCTGATGAGGCATCCCTAGGGCCAGTGCCCCATCCCATCCCATCCCATCCCATCCCATCCCATCCCATCCCATCCCACCCCATTCTTGCAGCTCATTCCATCCCATTCCTGCAGCTCATCCCATCCCATCCCATCCCATCCCATCCCATCCCATCCCATCCGCTCATCCTATCCTATCCTATCCTATCCTATCCTATCCTATCCCATCCCATCCCTATCCCTATCCCTATCCCTATCCCTATCCCTATCCCTATCCCTATCCCTATCCCATCCTATCCTATCCTATTCTATCCTATCCTATCCTATCCTATCCTATCCTATCCCTATCCCTATCCCTATCCCATCCATGTCTCCATGCTCTGGATGATGCCCAAGATGGGGAACCCAGCACCGTGTGGGAATGCACAATGGGGTCATAGCCTTAAATCAAGACTGGCTCCAACTCTGAGAGCTGAGAGAGCTCCTGGCCCTATTTCTTGGGGGAAATGCTTCATCCTCCTCTCACCTTCATGTCTCCATCCTCATAGCGCTGATGGGGAGTTCGCCGTGACCCACATGACAAAGGCCCACCTTTTCTCCACTGGGAAGGTGAAGTGGGTGCCCCCGGCCATCTACAAGAGCTCGTGCAGCATCGACGTCACCTTCTTCCCCTTCGACCAGCAGAACTGCAAGATGAAGTTCGGCTCCTGGACCTACGACAAGGCCAAAATCGACCTGGAGAACATGGACCACCACGTTGACCTCAAGGATTACTGGGAGAGCGGCGAGTGGGCCATCATCAACGCCATCGGCCCCTATAACTCCAAGAAGTATGACTGCTGCACCGAGATCTACCCCGACATCACCTTCTGCTTCGTCATCCGCCGCCTCCCGCTCTTCTACACCATCAACCTCATCATCCCTTGCCTGCTCATCTCCTGCCTGACCGTGCTGGTCTTCTACCTGCCCTCCGACTGTGGGGAGAAGATCACCCTCTGCATCTCTGTCCTGCTGTCCCTCACTGTCTTCTTGCTGCTCATCACAGAAATCATCCCATCCACCTCGCTGGTCATCCCCCTCATCGGCGAGTACCTCCTCTTCACCATGATCTTCGTCACGCTCTCCATCATCATCACCGTCTTCGTCCTCAACGTCCACCACCGCTCCCCCAGCACCCACACCATGCCTCGCTGGGTGCGCAGCTTCTTCCTCGACTTCATCCCTCGCTGGCTCTTCATGAAGCGACCCCTGGCGCTGCCACCCACCGAGGGGACCACAGGGCAGTATGACCTCCCAGGGACCAGGCTCAGCACCTCCCGGTGCTGGCTGGAGACCGATGTGGATGATAAGTGGGAGGAAGAGGAGGAGGAAGAAGAAGAGGAGGAGGAAGAGGAGGAGAAGACCTATCCAAGCCGCATGCCCCAGGCGGGCTCCCATGGCCAGAGCACCCAGTGCCGCTACGGCTGCGGGCGCCAAGCTGGGAAGGCATCTTCAGGCTCAGCCCCCCGGGTGGCCCCCAAGGGAAAGGAGGAGGAGGAGGAGGAGGTGGGCTCGGAGCAGGGGCTGACACTGTCCCCCAGCATCCTGAAGGCCCTGGAAGGGGTCCAGTACATTGCAGACCACCTGCGGGCCGAGGATGCTGACTTCTCGGTGAGTGGGTGCCCCCAAGGGTTGGGGAATGAGGTGGGGGTCCGCCACCCTGGGTGCTGCCTCCTGCCTCTTGTACCTCCATGGGTGGGTCAGTGCTGGGGCCCTGGGTTGGTTCCCTGGCTGCTGAGGACCCAAAGCCAAAGAGAAGACCAACAACCACCTCCTGGGTGATGCCTGGTCCATGGAGTCAGTTGAGGGGTCCTCCAGCTCCTGGACATGCTGGTTGTGAGGATATTGAGGTCTCTTATCCTGTGACCCTCCTCAGAGGCCACAACCCTACTTTTAGGTGGTTTCAAAAAACCCTGGGTGGGATTAGCTCTGCCCCAAGCAGCCTCCCCATAGAGGTCCATCCCTCAGCTTTCCTTCTCCAAGGATTTCCAAGGGTATCTCCTCACCCTGAGGCAAACGGTGGATGCAGAGGAAGCCCCGGGTGGTCTCCTAACCCCAAGGGGTCCTCACAGATGGGGGCTGCATCACGCTCACGGCCCCTCTTTGCTCGGCAGGTGAAGGAAGACTGGAAGTACGTGGCCATGGTGATCGACCGCATCTTCCTCTGGATGTTCATCATCGTCTGCTTGCTGGGCACCGCGGGGCTCTTCCTGCCGCCCTACCTGGCGGGGATGATCTAGGGCTGGGTCGGGCTGCAGTGGGGATGGCAAGCGATGCACGGTGGTGCCCATATCCAGCTGGACCACAGGAGGTCACGGTTGCAACCATGGAGGACCCTCAGATGGGAAATGTGGGGTGAAGCTGTATTGAGGAGTGACATGAGGGTGGTGGGGAGCGATGGGGTGGTCACAGCCATCCCAGCATTGAGGAAGGGATGGTACAGCCTCTCCACTGCTCAAGCACAGGCTGGAGGCATCTAGGGGAGGTATCTGCTTCCTCAAACTTCCGCAAGTCCTACCCAAAACGCAAGAGATGCATCTGGTTGTGACTTCTGCATTGCTGGGCAAGAAGAGGGGACTTCGCAGATGCTTTAGGAATTTTAGCTGCTTTTTTTTAGGATGCATCCTGCCCGCAGGACGTGGGGCAGGCAATAACGCTTCGGGTGGTCCATGCAGAAGGGGTATGGTCATGGGATGGGGGTCCCTGCTTGGCCACGTGGCTCAGAACCCTCCAGGTCGCTTCTGCGCCATCCCACACCGGAGCTGGGGGTGGCAGGGAGATGGGAGCAGCCAACCCACAAATGTGGGTGGTTTGGAAGGGAAAAAAACACCCTGCAGAGCAGGATAATCCACCCATGGACCCCAGGAGCTTGGGGTGCTGCCTTGCGTTGAGGCTGATGGACCTGGCTGGCATGGGGGGACCCTGCACTGCCGAGGTCCATCCCAAGCCAATCCTCCTCTCCATCCCACACCAGATCCCAAACCGCCCGGCTCTGCTAGCTGCTGCAACCCAGTTTTTAATTTCTAGCTTCCATATACCCTAAAAAGCATCCCCTCTCTTCTTCCATGCTCATAGAAACACCAGGATTTTCCAGCAGCGTTTTCTCCTCCCGGAGACCGACCCCGGCGTGGCGATGCTGGCTGCAGCCTGAGAGGCATCAGGAAACACTTTGTGCTTTCAGGGATGAAATGGGCCGGAATAAACGGTGCCACAGAGGGACGTGCATGTCCTGAGGGCGCTGGAGCCACTCAGTGATGACTGAGGTGGGGCTGGAAATGGGATGAGGATGGAGCGGGTGCCCAGGCGTGGGTCTATGTGTGTGTGACCCCTCTAATCCCATACCCATGGGTTTTAGGGCTTTGCAGACCATGGAAAGGGTGATCAGGGACTGGAAGGGGCTGTCTAGGGCAGTGGTGGAGTCCCCATCCCTGAAGGGGTTCAATGTGGCACTTGGGGACATGGTTTAGTGGTGGACAGGTTATGGTTGGACTAGATCTTAACGGTCTTTTCCAACCAAATGATGCTGTGACCCCCAGCATCCTTCTTGTGATGGGAAGCCATATTCATGGCTGTGCTATCCCACATAAACCTCTCTCCAGCAGCCTCCACCATGGCTTGCCCATGATTTCCTGATGGTCTTTGGAAAGCAAAGGTCTGTAGATGGTCTCAGTAGCAAACCTTGAGGTGGGAAAAGGGGTTGTCCAGGACCCTCATATGGATTGTGGGGTCAAATGGAGGGAAATGGGGCTCTGGAGGGGACATGGATGAAGCAGACCCAGGTTCACCCCAGCAGCTCCCGTGGGGATGCTATTACTGGGACAACCCTTCCCCACGCCTGCAAGGTGAATCATGACCCTTCCTCTTTCTAAGGAGGTGCTGGTGGCCAGGGGATGTGTCCCCATCGTCTGGGGGTGACAGGCAAGCACAGGAACAGCAGGGCTTGGTGCATGGTTTATCTCGGCCAGAATGAACAGCGTTGTGGGAAGATGCTGGGGAAAAGCCCGAACCGTAGGGTTTCCAACTCAAAGCACAAACCGGACACAGACTTGGTTTGCCGTCGTCGCTTACACAGAGCAGCTCCGGAGAAAACGCAGTTGGAAGAGGCACCGTCCGCCTGGTTTGTGTCACCGAGGGCTGCGGTCCATGAGGTCCCATCCCTCCCCATGCTCTGCAGGTTTGGGGCCGGGCGCGCTCCGGCCACGGGCACCGGGACCGGCTCCGCCGCAGTGTGCGGACCTGCCTCCCATCATTAAATAAACTCTGCTATACAATGTACAAGGAAACGCAAAGAGTCCCTCCAGCCACCGCTCCGATGGCCCCAGGGGACCCCTGGGATGCCAGCACCCCCAGCCGCTCCCGGCGTTGAGGAGCAGGGTCCAGGTCCCCATCACCACACATTACCCATGGCCATCTGTCCTCAGAGGGGCCAAGGGACGGACACATGGACCTGCTGGCAGCAGGGAAGCCACCGAGCCAGAGGGATCTTCAGCCACCCCTTGGGGATGGCCGGGTCCCCCCCAGCCCTTTCCAAATACGAGTCATCAGATGCCTCCCTTCTTCAGAAGACAAAACGATGCTAAAGACACGAGCGGCTGCAGGGAGGTCGGGGGACAGGGAGGCCAGGATGGCGAGGCCACGGTAGACACACAAAAGCCAGCTCCTCCGCAACGCTCTCCTCCCATCTCCACCGACCAAAGCGCGGTGCTCCCTCTCCTCTTCTCCTTCCCCAACCCTTCTCCTTCCCTCTCTCCACCCCTGCCCTCACTCCAAGCACAGCTTCACCAGGTTGGCCTGGACCTTGGCTTGGTCCACGGCATCCAGGAGGTTCTTGGCATCCACGGCCAAGGTGTGGGAGGCCGTCAGCATCTGCCGCTTGCACTCCTCGCTCAGCGAGGTGACGGCGTTCTGCTGCGCCAGGCGCATCTTGTTGATGAGGTCGGCCAAGTCCTTGTTCAGCAGCTTCTGGGTCCCCTCGATCTGAGCAGGACATGCAGAGGTTAAAAACATGGGTGCCACCAGCACCTGACCCCAATGGCTGGACCCTTCTTCCCCAGTTCCCAGTCCTACCTCGGTGCGGGAGGCAGCGGGGAGGACGGGCAGGATCTCGTCGACGCTGCCGATCAGCTTGCGCAGCGACAGGCCCACGTTCTGCGGGGAGGGTGGCGGGGTTAGGGTGACCCCAGGCATGGGCACAGGGAGAAGGGGCATGGGAATCGTCTGGGCCCCTGAGTCAAGGATCCCATTCGGGAGAGGGGCATGGTGGGAAATTCCCCCATCCTTGACCCAAGGACCCAATGGAGGAGCAGGGAGTGCTGGAAATGTTCCCATCATTGACCCAAGGACCCAAAGGAGCAGCAGGGAGTGCTGGAAATGTTCCCATCATTGACCCAAGGATCCAATGGAGGAGCAGGGAGTGCTGGAAATGTTCCCATCATTGACCCAAGGACCCAAAGGAGCAGCAGGGAGTGCTGGAAATGTTCCCATCATTGACCCAAGGATCCAATGGAGGAGCAGGGAGTGCTGGAAATGCTCCCATTGTTGGCCCAAGGACCCAATGGAGGAGCAGGGAGTGCTGGAAATGTTCCCATCATTGACCCAAGGACCCAGTGGAGGAGCAGGGAGTATTAGAAACGCTCCCATCGTTGGCCCAAGGACCCAATGGAGGAGCAGGGAGTGCTGGAAATGTTCCCATCATTGGCCCAAGGATGCAATGGAGGAGCAAGGACTGCTGGAAATGCTCCCATCGTTGGCCCAAGGACTCAACAGAGGAGCAAGGCATGTTGGAAACTCATAATTGACCCAAGAACCCAATGAAGGAGCAGAAACTCCTTGTAAACTCTCCCTTCATTGATCCAAGGATCCAAAGGAGGAGCTGAGAATGCTGGAAATGCTCCCTTCTGTATGTGCAAGACCTTCCCAAGAAGGATGCCTGGTGGGAGCCACTCAGCAGACCAATTCCTGGTGCTGTCCCCTCCCTACCTTCACCACCAGGATGTACCCATCCGGGGGCAGGAGGCTGATCTCGTTCTTCAGCTGCAGCACGGCCCTCACCAGGTCCATGACGTTGCTGTACACCGTGTCATCCGTGCGGTCCAGGTTGGCCGTGGGGGCGGGGTGGATGGACTGCTGGGGAACAGGGACACCATGGGATCAGACGAGAGGCAGCAAGGAGGGCAAGACCAACACCTATGGGGAGCCCTGGCCAGGCCCAGCCACCTCCCACTCATGACCTCAATGCTGTTGGGTCTCTCTGACCTCTCTGGGTCTTGGGGGAGTCAGAAAAGACCCATTCTGCAGAGCCAGAGGGACGATGGAGGTAGAGGGGGAGGACTGGGACCATTATGGCTCCATCCAGGGAAGTCTTGGGTTGATGGAGGTAGAGGAGGAGGACTGGGAGTGTGGTAGCCCCATCCAGAGAGGTCTTGGGATGATGGAGGTAGGAAAGAAGGACTGGGACCATTATGGCTCCATCCAGGAAGGTTTTGGGATGATGGAAGCAGAGGATTGGGACCATGGTGATCCCATACAGGGAGGTTTTGGGATGATGGAGGTAAAGGAGGACTGGGACCGTGGTGGGTCCATCCAGAGACGTCTTCGGATGATGGAGGTAGAGGAGGACCGGGACCATGGTGACCCCATCCAGGAAGGTTTTGGGATGATGGAGGAAGAGGAGGAGGATTAGGGCCATGGTGGTCCCAATCCAGGGAGGTCTTACCTGCGCCCCAAGTCTTGGAGGCTTCTGGGGGGGCCCCGTGAACTCCGCTACGCCATCAGTAAGGGAAAGGAAGGAGAGTCACTCAGGCTGCTCCCCTGGACACACTGCAAGACCCTTGGGACCCACGTCATGTCCTGCACCACCCTGGAGCAGCGTGTCCCACCCTGAGCCACCCCAGCTGGGTCCAAACCCCTGGGACCCCCATTGAAGATCCCCCTCTAGGGCAGCCAAAGCTGCTCCCCAGGATCTGGGATTTCTTCCATGGAGGATCCCAAAGCTGAGGGAGATACGGCCTCAGGGCTCCTCACAGCTCAGCACCCAAAGTGGGTGCTTCTGGGTGGGGTGGTCACGGGTAGTCCCACACCCCATGGGCACTCACTGTAATCAGTCTCCTTCTCTGGGAGCATCTGTGGGAGGCAAAAACAGCAAAAAAGTCCTGGTTGGAGGCAGTGGAGAAGGAGAAGGCATCACCATCCCCTCCCAGGGTTTCTGGTGGGGAGCTCCGCGCCATCGGTGTTTCACCCCATTACATTTTCAAATTAATTAATAACATGAGGGACACATATATAATGAATATTTATCAGTCGTCTGTGCCAAAGCAGATGAGGATGACAGGACATCCCCAAAAGAAGGACCCCCTGCACCCAAACAGACCCTGAGCCCAGCACTCACCGGAGGAGCGTTGTTGTTCATAAACACCGTCGGGTCCTGCAAAGGGGGAGATTTGTGAGGGGGATGGAAAACAAAGGAAAAATAAAGGGAAAAACAGGGATTTTCCTAATTCTGAGGGACATCACACAGGAACACATCTCTGTAGGGTCTGGGAGAGGAAGGGGCTTCATGTCCATTGCTGGTCCCATCCCGTCCCGTCCCATCCCGTCCCAT